TTCTCACTTACATGTGGAAGTTAAAAAAGTATAGCTCATAGAAGCATAGAGAAAAACAGTGGCTACTAGAGGAGAAGAAGGGGAGCCAAGGAAGGGGAGGGGAGAAGGGAGAGTAGCCAAAAGTTGGTTAATGGATATATAAGTACAACTAGAGAGGAAGAGTAAGTTCCAGTGTTCTATAGCACTATAGGATAACTATAATTAACAGCAACTTATTATATATTTTTAAATAGCTATAAAAGCAGGGTTTAAATGTTCCCAACACAAAGAAATGATAAATGTTTGAGGTGATGGATGTGCTAATTACCATGACTTGACCAAGACACATTGCATACGTGTATCAAAATAGTACACTGTACACCCAGTAAATATGTACAATTACTATGTATCCATTAAAAATAATAATAAAAGCAAAAAAAACCCTTGTGTCTTATTTTATCATATACTATCCTGTTTCTTGTCTACATTCCCATTGCAGAGTAAAACCTGAAGTCAGAGACTATGTCACTTTTCTTTATCTCTTCAGAAATGTACACTAGGCAATTTATCTTGCAAGCCTAGTTTTCTAGTGTTTTATAATAAAAAATAAGAAAAGAGGCCTTGAAGAGTTATGAATGAGAAACAACATGTGAAGTGTGTAGCACTGTTCAACAGAACTTTCTGAGATGATGAAAATGTTCTGTATTTCCAGCTGCTCAATAGGAGCCACTACCCATATAAGCAACTGATACGTGGCTAGTGCAACTAAAAAACTGAATTTTAAATTTTATTTAAAATTAAATGTGGCTAGTAACTACCATATGGTAGAGAGCACATTGAAAGTCTATAGGAAGCACTGAATAATGGTAACTAATACTACTAAAAATAAAAATTTTCAGAATGTTCTAGAGATTCACAACAAAATGTTACATTTCAACTTAAATAAGGTAATAAAACACTGTTGCAAAGCAAATTCGACCTGTTTTAAAAATAAAAGAAATTAATCTTATTTCATTATTTCCTATTTCATTAGCATAGCCACCTTCTGACTTGACAATCACTTTCAGGAGACAGCATGGTTTTCCTGTCATGCTGGAGGGAACATGTGGTTCCTTCCAAACCACACACCTTTCAGTTAGTATGCAGGTGAGAAAAAGATCCAACACACAAAGAGGGCGATAACTGGACCCAGTGAAAAAACCATAGGTTACAATCAGACAGACCTAAATGTGAATCTCTTTTTCTTTTTTTTTTCTTTTTTTTTGAGACAGGGTCTCGCTCTGTCGTCCAGGCTGGAATGCCCTGGCCCAATCTCGGCTCACTGCAAACTCCACCTCCCAGGCTCGAGTGATCCTCCCACCTCAGCTTCCCGAGTAGCTTGGGACTACAGGGGCGCACCACCACGCCTGGTTTTTGTATTTTTTACAGAGACGGGGTTTTGCCATGTTGACCAGCCTGGTCTCCAACTCCTGGCCTCAAGTGATCTGCCCGCCTCAGCCTCCGAAAGTGTTGGGATTACAGGTGTGAGTCACCATATTCAGTCTTAAATGTGAACTCTCTAATGAAATTCTACCCTCTTAACAGTGTTAACACCAGGATTACCAAGCATACATATAAAACATTCACAAGAGTAGAGCACAATTGATACTCAGTAAAATGGCAGTCAATATTATCATATAACTGTTTAGAAAAAAAACCGTTAGGCAGGGCATGGTGGCTCATGCCTGTAATCCCAATACTTTGGGAGGCTGAGGCAGGTGGATCATGAGGTCAGGAAATCAAGACCATCCTGGCCAACATGATGAAACCCCGTTTCTACTAATAATACAAAAATTAGCTGGGTGTGGTGGCACGTGCCTGTAATGTCAGCTACTCGGGAGGCTGAGGCAGGAGAATCGCTTGCACCAGGGAGTTGGAGGTTGCAGCGAGCGACAGTGCAAGACTCCATCTCAAAAAGAAAGAAAAAAAATGCTTTATATGTGTATGGAGTCTATTCTACTGGCTGCAGCAACTTCCCTCTAGAATTCAGAATATGCTTATTCAACCAAATCTTTATGAGAATAGATTTTAGATAGTGAGTTCTAAAAAGAAAATAACTTTCTTTCTTCCTTTTTAATGCAAAATATTCATTCTTTTACTTATATTTTTCCTGTTAAATTAAAAAACGGTAAGATTCTATTTTAAAAATCCAAAATGGTTTAAACATGATATAATCATCTACAAATGTTGATTCTCTCACCATAATTCTTTGTGGCTTTTTTTTTTTTTTTTTTTTTTTTGAGACAGGGTCTTGCTCTGTCACCCAGGCTGAAGTACAGTGGTATGATCATAGCTCACTGCAGCCTCAAACCCCTGGGCTTAAGCAATCTTCCTCCCTCAGCCTTTTGAGTAGCTGGGACTACAGGCACATGCCACCATGCCTGGTTAATTAATTTATTTATTTATTTTTAAGATGGGGTCTTGCTCTGTTGCCCAGGTTGGAGTGCAGGGGTGTGATAACTGCTGACTGCAGCCTCGACCTCTCAGGCTCAAGAGATCCTTCTGCCTCAGCCTCCTGAGTAGCTGGAACCACAGGCATGTGTCACCACGCCTATCCAATTCTTTTTAAATTTTTTGTAGAGGTGGGATCTCACCTGCCAAGGCTGGTCTCAAACTCCTGGGCTTAAGTGACCCTCCCACCTCAGCTTCTCAAAGTCCTGAGATTACAGGCATAAGCCACCAAGCCCAGCCTATTTGCAGCTTCCTAACAAAAACAAATTAACTTTAAGGTAAGTATATGTCAGGTCTTCCTAGTTGCTCATGGTTTTTGCAGTTTCAAAACAGAAACTGCAACATAGGGAAATCCTATCTCTACAAAAAGTATATTTTTAATTAGCCAAGTGTGGTGGCACACACCTGTGGTCTTAGCTACCCAGGAAGCTGAGGTGGGAGGACTGCTTAAACCCAGGAGGCTGAGGCTGCAGTGAGCCATGATCGTACCACTGCACTCCAGCCTGGGCAACAGACCAAGACCCTGACTCAAAAACCAAAAAACAGAAATTGCTTTTCTTATAATACATATCTTGCCTATTATAATCAATAAATATCATTTTTATTAATATCCTCTTAAGTAGTATAAATACATCACCAGTTGCCTCATAATACTATTTCAAGATTTCAGGTTATCTTTGTAGTAATTTTGCCTGAGTTCCCAGTCACTCTCAGTATTCTGTCCTCTCATTTAGTCCCAAACAAAAAACAAAGAAACCCTTTTCTAAATGTAAAAAGGGGCGAGGAATGGTGGCTCAAGTCTGTAATCCCAGTACTTTGGGAGGCCAAGGTGGGCAAATCACTTGAGGTTAGGTGTTCAAGACTAGGGTGAAACGCCATCTCTACTAAAAAAATTTTAAAAATTAGCTGGGCATGTTGTTACATGCCTGTGATCCCAGCTACTCGGGAGGCTGAGGCAGGAGAATCACTTGAACCCAGGAGCCTCCTGGGTAGTTAGGACCACAGTTGTGCACCACCACACTTAGCTAATTTAAAAAAAAAAAAAAAAAACTTTTTGTAGAGCCAAGATTGCGCCACTGCACTCCAGCTTGAATGAGAGTGAGACTCTGTCTAAAAAAAAATAAAAATATAAGGCTCAAGGCATTATTTTAAATTTTTAAAAATGTTATTTAAAGGAAGGGTAGGGTGAAGGGAGGGATAGGGAAATATGCGTTAAAGAATACAAAATCACAGCTAGATAGAAGGAACAAGTTCTAGTGTTCTATATCACTGTAGGATGACTATAGTTAACAATATTAAATAGTTTCAAATAGTTAGAAGGGGAGATATTGAATGTTCCCAAGACAGAGAAATTATAAGTATGTGAGATGATGGATATGCTAATTAACATGATCTGGTCAATATACATCACATGTATGGAAACATCACTATGTACCCCATGAAAATGTACAATTATTTCCCAATTTAAAATTTTTAATTTAAAAACCTAAAAAAAAGTCATTTAAGTATAAACTTGTATCTTTCTTTTAACCAATCTAGCATAACCTGCTTAATTCTACTAGGATAATTACCTTTGATCCTAATTTAACACTCCTAGTCTCATCAACCAAATCTTACAATAGTTTTCACATGGGGTAACCAACACCCAACATCTATATAAAATTTTTTCTTTTACAAGAATTGTTTAGAGAGCATAAAATCTAAATGTTCCTTTTCCCATATATTTTTAGTGTTATTACTTTCTTTAATTTACTGAGCTCATATTCTAAATCTAGTAAATAGGAAAAAATTTTAAAGAGAATAAAAGTAATTTTGGAGCTTATAAATCCCTCTACATCTATTCGATTCTTTATTTTAAAAAGAATTAAACCCATCATTACATGGAATGTCTAAAATAACGCCAAAGCCTAATCTAAACACACATAATTTTTACAAATATATATGTGTGTGTATATAGAGAGAGTTTACTTTACACCTGCTTTGCATTTATGACTCAAGAAGTATCCTAACACAGAACACTGTAAATTATGCTCAAAGAAATGTATATCAAAATCAGGCAACCTTGGGCCAGGCACAGCGGCTCACACCTATAATCCCAGCACTTTGGGAGGCCAAGGCAGGAGAATCACTTGAGCCCAGGAGTTTGAGACCAGCCTGAGCAGCACGGTGAAACCCTGTCTCTACAAAAATAAAAAATAAAAAAAAATTTGTCAGGCATGGTGGCAGGCACCTGTAGTCCCAGCTACTTGAGAGGCTGAGGTGGGGCATCATTTGAGCCAAGGTCAAGGCTTCAGTGATCAGTGATTACACCACTGCATTTCTGCCTGGGTGACAGAGCAAGATCCTGTCTCAAAAAGAAAAAGAAAAAATCAGGCAACCTGAAAGTTGCAAATGAAAAAAATAACAAAACCATTTTTACTCCATATTAAAATCTGCAGTCATACTGAGTATGCTTTCTAGCTGATAAAAATGACAAAAAGCATATATGAAAGATTCTAACAATACAAATAACACTTAAGCTTATTTCTTACTGATGGAATTCGCTTTCTTCTAACTTCATTCTCAGCTGACATAAGCAGCAACTCAAGTTCCTTTATTTTCTTTTCCTTATCAGGATCTTCATCAATGAAGGGTTGCTAAAATAAGTTAAATAAAAGAGAAAACAGGCTACTTATATAATTGCTTTATTATTAGTGTTCTCATGTTTATTTTCTTCTATGCAACATGAAATATATTTTTTCTAATAAAGCTTAATGCTACTAAATACTAAATATTCATTATTACAATCCCTCTGGTATCTAAAGAGCTGCTGGTAAATATTTTCAACTTAACAGATTTGGGAAAATTTTAATGCCTTAAAAAAATGTTGCATCATCTATATCAGCTGAAATGTATGTTTGGAATATTTTAGATTTTTAAATCTTAATACATACATTCTATACAATTTAGCAAAAATATGTCCATTCACAACTTGAATGCTTTACCTTGAAAGAATGAAAGGACTACCATACTGGTATTGTTAATCATCTTATACTTGTACGGTTTATATTTCTTAAATCCCACTTACACACTTTCTTCTTTAAGGTTAGAGTACTCCAAGTAGGACAGATCGTATTATTTTTATACTAGTTTAATAAATGAGGAAATAGATACTATTAGGCTTTTTAAAATGTGACTGAACACATTTCCTTTGGTTTTTGTTGTAAATAAAAGTTACCTGAATAAAGGCAGAAGTAGGCTGAACATGTTCTATACAATTGCCTTCAGGTGACACATACTGATACCCAGGTATCTAAAAAGTAATTAATGCATTTTATCACACATATAATGATATATAAATGTTTAAAATCTAAAGCAAATGACAAAAACTTTTGAAATAGTATCAACATAAAAAACTTAGAAAGGACCTGTATTAATTTTGAAATTTTATACCTATAATACTTTCTTATCTATTAAATAATAACTACAGCTCCAATCCTAGAACCTATGGATTAAAAGTTATAACACTTAGAAAAGACTTTTTTCCCCAGATGAAATATGAGAATTACTTAGCCTAGATTTATCAGCCAGTTTATTAAATCTGACATTCCCCATATATATTTAAACGTCTACTATTAGAAGGGTTGCTCTATCTCCTAGAGAAAACAAAGTAATTGTGTTCCTATGTGTCCATATGAATGAAGCACTGACAAGGACAGAGACTGAAGCAAGTTTTCAATGTTCATATCTCCTACTTTTATCACCACTCCATGCGAAAGGCTTCTCCTATTACTTGTCTTAGAAAAACAATCAGAATCACTCATATACTTTTAATAGATATACTTATGATAGGCTACGTATCATTCTGCTTCTTTCCTAAAACATCTGTAATAAGAATTTTCAAGATACATATAAATTTAGTAAGCAGTAGTGGGAAGACATATGAGAGAAGGTGTTTTTAAAAGCCTTAAAATTGGGGCTGGGTGCAGTGGCCCAACCCTGTAATTCCAGCACTTTGGGAGGCTGAGGGAGTATGGTTGCTTGAGCCCAGGAATCCAAGACCAGCCTGGGCAACATGGCAAGACCCTGTCTTTACAAAAAATTAAAAAATTAGCTGGGTGTCGTGGAACATGCCTATAGTCCCAGCTACTCAGGAGGCTGAAGCAGGAGGATCACATGAGCTCAGGTGGTTGAGGCTGCAGTGAGCTGTGTGCGTACCACTGCACTCCAGCATGGCAACAGAAAGAGACTCTGTCTCAAAAAAAAAAAAAAAAAAGGCTTAAAATTTAAAAATATAAATATGAAATTGTCTGCTTTCCATAATGATCTACCTAAATCACTATATAATGCAGAACTATTATGTATAACTTCTAACATAGAACTTAACGTTTAGAATATTCGATTAGTACCACTTATTGCTCAGCTTGCTAACTCCAACAAATTAAAAACTTATCTTTCCCAAACTTTTCATGAAAATCTGTGACAGTATTTTAAACCCATCTATTTTTTTTATCAAGTCACACATATAATAAAATTATCTTATTAGTTTAAATTAATTGAATAATGAATATATCTAAATTAAAAAGGAAACAATTCTTGTAGTACAAGAAATATCCTCATCTTTCCAACATATTTAGATTAAGACTGTTAAATACTCTGTTGGCCCCATGTATTATCTTTCTACAAGTTAAAAAAATAAATTTAAATGATAACCTTTCTAAGACAGAAGCAGAATGTTTCAGTTTATGCTGCTGAAATCTAGACTCTAAAGAAAAATGTAAAGAAACATAATAAAAACCTTAAAGTATTGAGTCTCAGCAGATATACTGTCTTCACTTGTTTTCCTATTGTTAATGAAAATGTCATTACTCTAAGTGGTTCTTTTAAAATGATGCTTAAAAAACTTAAATGTCCACAAAATGTCAAAAATCAAATCTCAGGCATAAAAAGCACAGATTTTTAATATCTCGCCCAATTTTATCTTTTGGTAGACAACCACTAAGTCCTGACTTAATCTTTACAATTTATGTGACAAGAACCAAGAATTGCGCATTGTGAAAAATGGCATAACAGGTAGACAAGGAAGTGTAAAACAAATCCCATGAAGACTCCTACACTAATTTCTTCCAAGTAGAAAAATGCACTGTAAGGGACAACATAGAGCTTGCCCCATTTTGAGCTCATGTAATATCTACTTTAATGAATCATCTAAACAAAGACTAAAATTACCCAAGTGATTAGTTATTAGGGGGAAAAGCAAAGCTGAATGTCAGCAAAGGCCAATTAATTACCACACCCCCCAAAACAATTACTTAAGTTATTTTTTGCTACTTTCTCCTTTAAGCCATTTTATATATACCTACCTCTTAGAGATAAGCAATACTATAATTACACCAAAATTTTTTAAATGGAAAGTACAGTAGAATGTTAAAGCACAGATGACCATTAGCTTTGAATCATAAATGAAGATTCAAAGAATTAGAGTATTAGGAAATGTATATAGTTTCTTAATGTAAAAATTACATATAAAAGGAAACATTTTAATAAATCTGTTCTCAAAATACTTATAAATCAAAGTTACACATTTTTTTCAATTTCTCTATTTACCCCTTAATATGCATTGTACTTGTCCTATTAAGAAACAAAACACCTTCTCATATGGCAACTTAAGAAATTTTTTAAAATAATAAAGGTATTAAAAGTATGTGCCTGAACAGGTATGTAAAACTGATTCTGGGTTTGCATATGATCCATAGCTGCACAAGGTTTGTGTTGAAGTTTAGATGAAGATCGTTCTGATTTTATTCCATCTTGTAAATAGCCCTCCTGTTCCACTTTTCTTCGCATAGTAGAATTCCAATGATTTTTGATAGAATTATCAGTCCTAAGAAAGGAAAGGTACAATTTAAAAAGAAAAAAGGATTCCACAGATTTCAACACTGTGTAACTTGTACAAAGTGCTTAAAACAAATTTTTACACTGATGAAATTAGATACTTTTTTCTTAATTTTTCTTTTGGAGTTTCTACTCAGGAATATAGGTGCTTTTTTTAAATTCAAGAGATAAACTGTATGTGTATATGTCAGGCATAGTTCTAAGCACCAGAAATATTGTAGTGAATAAGGCAAAGTAGGTCACTGCTCTCATGGAGCTTACACTCTCCTTGGAAGTGTGGAAGTGGGAAGGAAGGAGGAATAGAAAAACAAATAAATAAATAAATAATCAGTACAATGCAAATAAAGTAGGACAAGAAAAGTGGGTAATAGAGTAATTTTGGTTTGGTTAGAACAAATCAGCCATACAAGAACAGAAAAAAAAAAAAAAAAGAGCATTCCAGATAAAGAGTATAGCAAGAGCCAAGGTCTTAAGCCAGGTACAAACATGATCATGAAAAGCAAATCACAAACTAAAGAATGCCGGTATTCTTTTTCACTTCTTAGAACAAAATATTTATGGTAAGAAAGAATTAATTGGCTCCCTTCTTATCTAAGGTTCCCTTTATAAAAATGTAAATCTTCAACCTATAGCTACTTATAGTGCAAATTTCATCCCTCATAAAATATACACATATAAAGCAGGTTTTCAGTAAATGTTAAGGCACTAAGCTAGGTTCTATGGAAAGTAGGAAGATGTACAAGAGATTAAAAGTATCTAACCTGGTTTAATAACTTGAATAAAAAATTTAACACTATGCCTTAATATCTTATCTATAAAACAAAGATAGCAATGTTTGCTCTGTATACTTTCCAAGTCTATAAAAATTAAGAATACATGTAAAAGCACGTAATGCTATAACGTACTATACAGATAGAGACTACAGCAACAAAAGACAAATGCATGCCTTCTAAGTTATGAATTTTCACAAGGTTGTTGATCTGCTGTACTAAACACTACTAGAAAACATATGAATCAGTACAATGTAGAGTATACTTAGCACATCACTGCCTCTGAGGAAAATTTTGTATTTTAGCCACATGGATATATATACTAATTCCATGGTTTGGATCATACCATAATTAATTAAGATTGAATTTTCCCCAACACACTTCCATAGCAGTTTACTGCAGCTAGCATATTATTCCCTGGTCTTACACATAGAATGCAATATGAAAGAAATCTTAGATTTAGATTCTGTTCCAACAAAGTTTATACAAAGGGGGTCTCACTTGATTGGCACTGATATGTCAACATGATTTTAGGAGTGTATTAAAGGTTTATATAATCTAAAATCTATCATTTTATTGTACAAATTATTGCCATAAAATAATTCATTAAAAAAGCAATCATACCCTTTACCACAGAATTTAGTACAAATGGTCCCAAAAGGTTGCTTATGTAATATAGTCTACATTTTAATTATAAATTTTAAAAAGTCATAGACGACTTGCAAATGTATTTAATAGTAAGGTAATAAAGGTCATGTTTAAGTACAGAAAAATATATATACATTTATATAAGCACCTTCCTGGAAGTAGTTTAGCAATTTCTGCCCAACGATTTCCCAATCGCTTATGTGCTTCATAGATGATCCTGTCCTCCTCTTCTGTCCAGGAAGATTTCTTTACCTCAGGATTCAGATGATTATGCCATCTTTCTCTACACTGCTTGCCTATTCTTCCTTTTAAATGTTTTGCAATTAAAGACCATCTTTTTGGTCCATATTTCTGAACTAATTCAATAACCTAGGAAACAGAAAAACAAAGTTTAAAAAAGCATTACCTTGAAAGAATTTTAAAACATAATTCAAGAATACCATTTTAAATAAATGCATTAAATCCAAGCCACAACTACAATTTGTAAAAAAAAAAAAAAAAAAAATTACTAATAAATACCTCTTTAGCATTTGCCAGCTTCAAAAATTGATTCCAAATGCATCTAAAAATCCAAGGGGCTAATTAAAGACACTTGAAATTAAATTGCTCTCATACACTATTAACTTGAAATAACTGTAAACATGTTGAAACTTGTGCATTTTCTACTCTTACATCTATTTAAAAAAAAAAAAAAAAAAGCTTCAGCACAAAGCCAAAAACAAAACAAAAAAACAATTTGGAAGCAGAAAGATTCTACCAAGTTATTGGGGCTGTCATTTCTTCCTTTCTCAAACTGAAAGGACACAGATTACATATTCTTTTTTCCACATTTTACAGTTGTTTTTATTTCACCTAAAATTGCAAGAATAGTTATTCCAGCCCACTTTACCTCACTGCCCTATGTCAAATATCACCTCATAAACATTTTATATTGGTAGACTAACTTTAATATATGTTGATATTTTCACTGTATGTATATCTATTTACTATCTTTAAAAAATAAAATTTAAGGCTTTGGTAAATGTATTTTTAAACAAGATCACACATTTTAAAACTTATGAGTAGCCATCAAGTAAATCAGAGCAGTCTAGGTGAAGTAACTTTAAAGTTTGTTCTGGCTGGGCATGATGGCTCAGCCTCTAATCCCAGCATTTTGAGTGGCCGAAATGGGCAGATTGCTTGAGCCCAGAAGTTCAAGACCAGTCTGGAAAACATAGCGAGATTCCATCTCTATTTATTTAAAAAAATTTTAAAAATAAGAATAACAAATAAAGTTTGTTTTGAGCAGGAGTAAGGATGCTCTAATGCCTCAACTGCATTAGCAACTTTTATGACTTAAAAGGCATTAACTAAAGAACAATTCCTAGTGGAGTGCAGAAAAGCTTCTATTCATCTCCAACTTTATAGCACAAACAATGACCTTGGTTTTTAAATTACAAAACCTTTGGAAACATGATGCTCTGACATCTATCTAATCCACGGCTCATTATAGGTCAAGAGAAAAAGTTAAGAATGACTTCTGTGCATATCAAGTTATTAGATGTAAAAATAAAATGAAAATCTGTTTTAAAATGTTAATTAGATTTTTGACAAAAAACTGTACCGTAACAGTTACGAAATAGAGCTCAAAACAAGGTAAGTAACCTTACAGCAAGTATTTTTCCTTCTGCAAACCAAACTCTCAGAAAGAAAGGGCTGTATGTTATACTTGGTTTGACTCAATTTTTTAAAAACCCAACAACATTTCAAGACACTTAACATTCAATTCTCATGCAAGTAGCCGCCAGAGAACAAAATCAAAGTGACTTAAACATATATTTCATATGTCAAAACAACACATTAGGAAGAAAAAAACTAGTCTACCTATATAGTGAATATAAAGAGTATGAACACATTACCCTCTGATCTTCTTCCTTAGTCCAAGGACCCTTTATCAATTCAGGATTTAAAACTTTCTGCCATCGATGCTGGCACTGAAAATCAGAGCGATTCTGAAAAAATTTAGATGATTTTGTTATTAAACAACTGTCTTCCAGAAAGCAAGTCAGCCCGAATTTATGTCTCACATTCTTAGAACAAAGACTTCAAGAATAGTGTATTCAACAGCATTCTTTAAACATGTAACATTTATGTTACATGTCTGTGTCCCAATTTTTTTTTTTTTTTTGAGAGGGAGTCTCACTCTGTCGCCCAGGCTGGAGTGCAGTGGTGCAATCTCAGCTCACTGCAAGCTCCGCCTCCCGGGTTCATGCCATTCTCAGCCTCCCGTGTAGCTGGGACTACAGGCGCCTGCCACCATGCTCGGCTAATTTTTTGTAGTTTTAGGAAAGACAGGTTTTCACTGTTAGCCAGGATGGGCTTGATCTCCTGACCTCGTGATCCACCCGCCTCGGCCTCCCAAAGTGCTGGGATTACAGGCGTGAGCCACGGCGCCCAACCTATGTTTTTTCTTAATTACAGTAGTCAACAGGGCTTAGACTACAAATAAAAAACAATTTATTTAAAACTAAAGTGTGTATCTTTACACTACACCTTATAATACAGCAAACAGCAAAGATAAAACACAGATAACCGCCATAAAGAAATGGATTTAGAGCTGAGGAATAAAAAGCAGTGGACAGAAAACTATACAAAGCTGACATAAGAACTCAAATAGGGCCAGGCACGGTGGCTCATGCCTATAATCCCAGCACTTTGGGAGGCCGAGGCGGGTGGATCACCTGAGGTCTGGAGTTCAAGACCAGCCTGACCAACATGGAGAAACCCTGTCTCTACTAAAAATACAAAATTAGCCGGGTGTCGTGGTGCATGCCTGTCATCCCAGCTACTCAGGAGGCTGAGGCAGGAGAATCGCTTGAGCCTGGGAGGCGGAGGTTGCGGTGAGCCAAGATTGCACCATTGCATTCCAACCTGGGCAACAAGAGCGAAACTCCCGTCTCAAAAAAAAAAAAAAAAGAAAAAGAACTCAAATAGCCTATCAGTCTGGATTCACGTAGTTCAGCGGTACCTAACCATACAGTTTTAAAAAAATGTAAAGGCTTTACTATACTACTTCATGGGATCAAAAGGATGTTATAAATTATGACTCCAAGTTATTAAGAAAACATTACATAGTCTATATAGAAGATGCATGTTACATTTCAATTAAATTGGTTAAGTGTTCATACTTAAAAAGAAAATGAATTCACCAGAATAAGAAAACCTATGCAGTATCTGGGTAGAAACATCTCAAACTCCAAAAATTATAAATGAAGCCTTATTTTAGTCAGTTCAGAACCTGGTAACTCCTATATATTACAAGGATAATGACACCGACACCTAACACTTTATTAGTGATTCACAGTTTACAAAATTGTTAGTTCATAAGATTACAGATAATCTAGAAACATATAAAGGGACAGATACAAATGTTTTGTCTACCAATGGCTCTTTTGCCCAATGCACTTAAAATTATTTTTATTCAAACTCAGCTTCATTTATGGCTTCTGTACACCAATGCTGATCCATTTTAAGGCTGATACTTTCTTCAAAATAATCAGGTTGCTCCTGTATGTCCTTGTAGCATTTCTGTTAATGCTAATGTAAATAACTTTTCTAACCTAGCTTCCATTTATTGAACACCTGGTAAAAATTAAGAATTGTGCCAAACATCCTATATGTTATTTCTAGTTCTATACAACCATACTACAGAAACGAGTATGATTACCTAGATATTATAGATAAGGAAGGTGACAATCAAAGAGGCTAAGTAATTTTTCTACGCTCATAGAGCTGACATTTGAACACAATTCAAACTGACTCCAAAATTGATGCTCTTTCACATTACTTGATCTCAATTTCTGGGTTATGTTGAAAGGCATATGACAATATAGAAAAAACATAGTTAACATGGTTTATGAAACCCAAAGTAGTCAATATTTAAATTCAAATACGTATATTTTCCCTCACTACTCAAAGTGTATTGAGGATACAAATAAGAGTATATGTGAGGGCTGGGCACAGTGGCTCACACCTGTAATCCCAGCACTTTGGGAGGCCGAGGCGGGCAGATCACCTGAGGTTGGGAGTTTGAGACCAGCCTGACCAACATGGAGAAACCCCATCTCTACTAAAAAAAAAAAAAATACAAACAAAATTAGACGGGCGTGGTGGTGCATGCCTATAATCCCAGCTACTCGGGAGGCTGAGGCAGGAGAATCGCTTGAACCTGGGAGGCGGAGACTGCAGTGAGCCGAGATCATGCCATTGCTCTCCAGACTGGGCAACAAGAGCGAAACTCCGTCTCAAAAAAAAAAAAAGAGTATATGTGAAAATACTTCATAAATTATAAAGCTATATAATGAACAGCAGGTGAATAGTAAGTAATATGGTAAACAATAGGCATAATAGTTTTTAAAATCAACATTTTAAAAGGTAAGCCTCAGATGATAAGCTTCTTTAAATAGGGCTTTTCTGGATTTTTTGGTTAGCTATCAAATATCTCTATATATTTCTCACAGAATGTTTTAACGTGTATTAGCAAATATTTATAAGGTCCCACATAAATTTATTACCATTTTTGTTTTAAGTTAATAATCTTTTTAGGCCCCTGGATAAACACATTACTAAAAGACCAGACTTTCTAAGCCATTAGCAACCAACTATAGGCAGACCAAACAAACAGGGATGTTTTTAGGAAGGAAACCTAAAATTAAAATACGTGGACACATTTTTGAAAAATAGCAAATTTAACCCAATGCCTTAAACCAGCCATGTTAGAAATATAATTTAATATTTCACTTACTTGAAGATGACTAGCAATTAGAGTCCAATCATCAGTTCCATGTTGTTCAACCAACTTCTTTAATTTATCGTCCTATTAAAACAGTACGAAAATTAAAAAGCTTTCCCCCATCCTTTTCCTCTACCCCTAAATATAGGTAACTCTCCAGTTATATTAAGGAGCATCTGGTAACCATAGAATAACTAAAGCTATCCACTATAATACAAATTCCTCCATTTATTATACTGTTTCTGTAAGTCCCAATGTCATCTATTATTCATGTCTCTGGTTGAAGAAAAAGAATGTACAGTTAATTGATACATACTTTTTCTCATATTTTGTTTTTAAATCTTTCATAACAACAGTAGGTTTTTTTTTGTTTTTGAGATGGAGTCTCGCTCTGTCACCCAGGCTGGAGTGCAGTGGTGTAATCTCAGCTCACTGCAACCCTCTGCCTCCCAGGTTCAAGCGATCCTCCTGCCTCAGCCTCCCAAGTAGGATTAGGATTACAGACACATGCCACCACACCAGGCTAATTTTTGTATTTTTAGTAGAGACAGGGTTTCATCACGTTGGCCAGGCTGGTCTTGAACTCCTGACCTCAAGTGATCCGCCCATCTCGGCCTCCCAAAGTGCTGGGATTACAGGCGTGAGCCACCACACCTGGCTGTATAACTATAGTAATATTAATCCATAAATACATGTAAGAAACTAGTAAACTTTGTCAGATAATAACCTCATCCCTTGTCCATTTTACTCTGTTCCAGAGCTTCTTCAGTCCTTTTTGTTGTGGTACTTCATAATCATGATCGGCATACTGAAGGTCATCATCCTCATCCTCACTACAAAAAAAAAAACACAATTTGTGAAATCAAGAATTTTATTTAAATTTGTAAATTCAATCATTGAACCTGTGTGTGCAGGTATGACTGAAGAAATCATACAGACTACAAGATGCATTCACAATGAGACTATTCAAAGTATAAAAAATTAAGAGTCAGACAATGGGGTGGGGTGTGGTACTTTTTTTTTTTTTTTTTTGAGACAGAGTCTTGCTCTGTCGCTCAGGCTGGAGTGCAGTGGCACTATGTTGGCTCACTGAGAGCTCCACCTCACGGGTTCACGCCATTCTCCTGCCTCAGCCTCTGGAGTAGCTGGGACTACAGGTGCCCGCCGCTACACCCGGCTAATTTTTTGTTTTTTTAGTAGAGACAGGGTTTCACCGTGTTAACCAGGATGGTCTCAATCTCCTGACCTCGTGATCCACCCACCTCGGCCTCCCAAAGTTTTGAGATTACAGGCGTGAACCACCGCGCCCGGCCTGGAGCTATACTTCATACTGACACCAAACACATGGGGTTGGATATGCCACTATGGGAAAAATCAAAATCTTGTATGTCATGTTAAGGAATTCGACCTTTACTCTTCATTTGACCTTTATTCTAAAGAGTTAAAGAACTTAAACACAGCAAAAGACAAAAGACAAATATCTTGTGTTTTAGAAAAATCAATGACAAGTGTGTGGTGAAATTGAAAAAGAAAAACCAATTAGTAATCTTCACAACAACCCAAGCAAGAAATTATTGGGGCCTGACAAATGGTAATGGAATATAAACCACAGCCAATTAAAAGACACAATAGAAGTGATCCAATTAACAATACCAACAACAAAAAATTTTTAACATCTAAAAATAATTTTAACATACAAGCTAAAGGTACAGTAAGTGACAAGACACTATTGTGAGACACAGAAGTCTTGAACAAATGGAAAAACATTCTGACTTTTTTTTTTTCAGAGAGCGTCTCAGCTTGCACTGTCGCCCAGGCTGGAGCGCAGTGGCTCAATCACAGCTCACTGTAGCCTCGAACTCCCAGGCTCAGGCAATCCTCATGCACCATCATGCCCAGCTAATTCTTTCTATTTTTTGTAGAGATAGGGTTTTGCCATGTTGCTTCACCCCCAAGGCTAGTCTTGAACTCCTAAGCTCAAGTGATCCTCCTGCCTCAGCCTCCCAAATCCCACGCTTGGGATTACAGGCATGCATCACCATGCCCAGCCTTCTGACCACATTCTTGGATAAGAAAACAATATTATAGATATGTCCATTCTCTAATTTAGGGAGATGTCCATTCTCCCTAATTCATAAATTTAAATAAAATGAATAAAAATACCAATAGATGGCCGGGCGCGGTGGCTCAAGCCTGTAATCCCAGCACTTTGGGAGGCCGAGATGGGCGGATCACGAGGTCAGGAGATCGAGACCATCCTGGCTAACACGATGAAACCCCGTCTCTACTAAAAAATACAAAAAACTAGCCGGGCGCGGTGGCGGGCGCCTGTAGTCCCAGCTACTCGGGAGGCTGAGGCAGGAGAATGGCGTAAACCCGGGAGGCGGAGCTTGCAGTGAGCTGAGATCCGGCCACTGCACTCCAGCCTGGGCAACAGAGCGAGACTCCGTCTCAAAAAAAAAAAAAAAAAAAAAAATACCAATAGATTTTGGGAGAGAATCAGACAAGCTGAATCTACAATTCATATGAAAAAAATCAAGAAGAATAGAGAGAAAAGTTTTAAAAAATAATAATCAGAGAATTACCACTACCCAATATCAAAACACACTGTAAAGAAATAAAACAGAATGGTACTACCACACGAACAAACACATAGATAAATGGAACAGAACAGAACATTCAGGAAAGAAAAAAGACCCACATGGAATTTGGTAAATTATAACAGTAATATTTCAAATCAGTGGAGTAAAGGTAGACTTTTCAATAAATGGTGTTAAGACACTGGGTAGCCATTTTTTTAAATTAAGATGGGCCGGGCTTGGACACCTGTAATCCCAGCACTTTGGGAGGCTAAGACGAGCAGATCATTTGAGGTCAGGAGTTCGAGACCAGCCTGACCAACATGGCAAAACCCTGTCTCTACTAAAATTGCAAAAATTAGCTGGGTGTGGTGGTACATGCCTGTAATCCCAGCTACCTGGGAGGCTGAAGCAGGAGAATTGCTTGCACCCAGTGAGCCAAGACTGCACCACTGCACTCCAGCCTAGGCAACAGAGTGAACCTCCGTTTCAAAAAAAAAAAGATGGTGTCCTACTTTACAATAAAATAAATGAGTGAAGCAATTATTTACATTTTTTAAATGAAACCATAATAGTACTATAAAAATAGAAAAAAAAAGTCTACTTTTCATATCCTTGATCAGAAGAGAGGTAAATGTGACAAAAATCTGGAAGTCATAAAATAGATCAACCAAGGTAATGACAGTGGGAATTGAAAGAAATATATGACAGTGAGAGATATTTAAAAAGCAGAGAAGAAAGGATTTTGCAACTGACAGATGAGGGACACGGAAGGAGGAATTAAGGATGACTCCAAAGTTTCTGGCTTTGAAAACATAAGTAGAGCTATTTACTATGGAAAATGAGAGAAGAAGAAACAGAACTTTGGGAGGGAGAAGAAAATGGGGAGAGTATGTATAGTTGGGGACTGTTTTCAAGGTACTTGAAAAATACACAGGTGGATATCTGGAACAGCACTTCCCAACAGAGATATAATACAAGTCACATATGTAATTTTCTAGTAGCCACATTTTTTTAAAAAAGAGAAATAAGTGAAATGTACTTCAATAGTCAGTATTCTTTAGCTTAATATATTAAAAATATAATCATTTCAACATGTAATCAATATAAAAAAGTATAAATGAAACATTTTACATATTTTTTTCTTACTAAAGTAGAAATCTGGTGTGTATTTTGTAGTTAGAGTTCATTACAATTCAGAGTAGCCACCGTTCAAGAGCTCAATAGCCACATGTGACTAGTGGCTATCCTATGAGGCAGAGCAGACCTAGAAGGCAAATGAGCACGTGGACCTGCTCAAATACAAGGTCTAGGGTAGAGATGCAGTTTCGGCCAGCATACAAAGAATAGTTGAGGGCACAGGATGACCCAAGGAAAATTAATAAAGTAAGGAAGGGGCCAAAGTCAGAATCTGAGTTTTTGATGGAGTAAAAAAAGAAAAAGCAATTTTAAAGAATAAACCCCCATAAAAAAGGGCAAGCCTTAATGATAAACTGAATTAGAAGGCCAGGCGCTCTGGCTCACACCTATAATCCCAGCACTTTGGGAGGCTGAGGCAGGCAGATCACCTGAGGTCAGGAGTTCAAGACCAGCCTGGCCAACACGGTGAAACCCCATCTCTACTAAAAATACAAAAATTAGCTGGGCATGATGGTGGGTGCCTATAATCCCAGCTACTTGGGAGGTTGAGGCGGGAGAATCACTTGAACCTGGGAGGTAGAGGTTACAGTGAGCCGAGATCACATCATTGCACTCCAGCCCGGGTGACAGAGCGAGACTCCCTCTCTATAAATAAATAAATAAATAAATAAATAAATAAATAAATAAACTGAATTAGAGGATTCTGAGTAGGCTGTGGACTGAACAAAGTCATGGCATCTGAAAATAACACAGTCTAACACTTACTTAAAACTCTCTAAGTACCAGACATTGTGGTAGTCTATGAAATTTTTCTCTTAATGCCTCACAACTGGAAGAGGGGAATATTATCATTATTCCTATTTCACAGAATAGGAAACTTTGACTTAGAAATGTAACCTCTTGCCCACAGTCACTACTTAACCACTATACTACAACATACTGGAAAAATAGGGGGAAAGTGCTAGGAAGCTGGAAAATACTAAAGACAACCTCAAGTTCATTTTGGAATCAGAACAAGGTTCTGGTTCTAACTTAATGACTCACTCTGTAACCGTGAACACATTAACCTCTCAGGGATTTAGTTTACTTGTTTGTAAAATGATAGTAATACCACCTACTTTATAGTGCTGCTTTAAGGATAAAATTAAATGAGAAAACATATATAACACCTCACACAGCACATGGCACAGAAAGGTGCCTCAATATTAGTATTACGTGCATAGGCTGATCACCTAATAGTATTCAAAATTATTTTTGCCTTACTAGATTCAACTCTTTCTCAAAAATTCATTCTGATTTCAAACAGCAAAAGTCTGAAGATTTGTTTAACCTTACTCTAACATAGTTAAGCGCATGCAAGTAGTTTCTAGTATCTATGTAAGTTAGTAATTTTAATCTTACAAAATTGAAAAATGAAGGTCCAGATTTAATATATACTGTCTATAGATCCTTTGCAGGAACGTCTAACTTCCATTGACTTGTCAATTCCATTGGAACAAAATTCTTCATATTTGACCAAGCAAAACACCAAGATTCTTCCATTCCCCTATGATCTGCTTCTACAGTTCAATGCACTTCAGTAGTCCAATGTTCTCTCTCCCTGAAGCCATTGTCTATTTGTAACAATAATCCACCAGTCATCCTTTCATACATGGCTGTTTTGTTTTGTTTCTTTTTTGAGATGGAGTCTTGCTCTGTCGCCCAGGCTGGAGGGCAGTGGCACAATCTCGGCTCACTGCCACCTCCACCTCCCCAGTTTAAGCAATTCTCCTTCCTCAGCCTCCCAAGAGAAGGAATTACAGGTGCCTGCCATCATGCTTGGTTAATTTTTGTATTTTTTTAGTAGAGACCGGGTTTCACCCTGTTGGCCAGGCTGGTCTCAAATTCCTGACCTCAGGTGATCAGCCAACCTTGGCCTCCCAAACTGTTGGGATTACAGGTGTGAGCCACCACGCCCGGCCCACATATGGTTGTTTTATTAAACTATGTTAAAAAAAAAAACAAAACAAAAAAACAAAAAAACACCTCTACAGGCTTGATTAAATACCTGATACGTGCAGCCATTTTCAGCTATCAGAAATATCACCTGATTGGCCAAGATTAAATTGTTAAAT